GCAGGGCAGGGGGGGTGGGGGGGTGGCGCTGCGCAGCGATGTGTACCTGTCAAACAGGCACAAGGAGGGTTCAAGGGCAATCTGAAAAGAGCATCTGCATTGCCATGGTGGGTACCCTTACGGTATGTTATGTCAAAAGAAAATTCCTGCAACAATTCCAACCATCGAGCCAATTGTCCAGACGGTTGTTCCAATTTCAGTGAGTATTGCAGGGCCGCATGGTCAGTGCCCACGAGGAATTTCCTACCATACAGGTACGGCCGGTACTGGCGAACAAAATGGACGATCCCCAGTAACTCCCGACGAGTGACACAATAGCGAGTTTCGGCGGGAGACAAAACCCTGCTGCCATATGCTACCACTCGTTCAACACCATCCTTCCATTGAGACAAAACAGCACCGATGCCGATGTTGCTAGCATCCGTGTCCAGGATGAACGGTTGCGAAAAATCCGGATAATCGAGCGTCGGCGCGGTGGCCAATCGATCTCAGAGAGAGTTGAAAGCCAGTTCCTCTTCTGGACCCCATTTGAATCTCTGATTCTTTCCCGTCAGGACATGCAGAGGCTTTGCCAATGTCGCAAAATTCTTAACGAACCGGCGATAATAGGATGCAAAGCCTATGAACCGTTGCACGTCACCTACGGAAGTGGGCGTCGGCCACTCACGGACACATGAAGTCTTGTGAGGGTCAGTGGATACACCGCTAGAGCTGACAATGTGTCCGAGGTAACGGACGGAATGCTGCAACAAATGATACTTTTTTGGTTTAAACTTGAGATCGGCAAACCACATTCTTTGAAAAACATCCTCCAGCCGTTGAAGGTGTTCTTCGAAAGTGCGACTGAAAACAATAATGTCGTCCAAATATATGAGGCACGTCTCACACTGTAGTCATGCCAGTACCAACTCTATCAGGCGCTGGAACGTCGCAGGCGCGGCATTCAAGCCCATGGGAAGGTAGTTAAATTCAAACAAGCCTTGCGGCGTGTGAAACGCCGTTTTCGGCTTTTATGCATCATCGAGGAGAAGTTGCCAAAAACCCGACGAGAGGTCGAAGGTAGAGAAAAATTAGCCCCTGACAAGGCGTCTAATGAATCGTCCATCCGTGGCAGGGGGTACGCATCCGCCACGGATATTTTATTCAACCGGCGAAAGTCAACACAGAACCTCAATCCGCCGTCCTTCTTTTTAACCAACTCCACCGGTGCGCCCCAAGGATTGTTGGACAGCGAAATAATGTTGGTCGCCAACATGTCGTCCACCGTGCCATGCACGTGCTCCCTTTGCGCAGGACTCATGCGGTGTGGATTCATACATATCGGTCCTGCCGCACCAGTGTCAATATGGTTTGACAAGAGCGAGGTACGACTCAAATCAAAGTCATCTTTACTGAAGATGTCAGCGTATTTCGACAGCAGTGAACGCAATGCGTTTCGCTGCGTGGAGGGCAAAGACGTATTCTCACGGCCCGAGACACGCCAGCAGCCATTACCCTCGGCTGGTCCCCATCAAGGCTAGTGAAGTCGGTAGTGGCATGGGCCAATACCGCACCCGCCAGAACGACGACTCGTTCTGGGCCCCCATTCAACACTTGTAAGAACGGGGCTTGTCCAGCCGAACGATAGTTTGAGCCGCGACAAGAGAGAAAGCCTTAGCCACGGAGTTTGACGGGGACAGCAACACACCCGCCGCCCTATCCGCGACCTCCAACCGTTTTCAGTAACGCAATGGGATGAGCATCTGTGTACCCGGGGGTATCTCCACAGTGACATCGGCAAGTGCGTGAATGGCGTTACCCGGAGGTGGACGGCCCCACAAGAATGGCAAGAAAGACATCCTACAGCCCCCTGGCATTTCTAAACAGCCCTGATCAACAAGGATTTTAACAGGCATCCGACGAAGGAAATCGGTGCCCAACAGACATGGAACTGCCAACGAGCGGGAGATAAGAACTGATCCCGACGCGGCAACATTCCCTATGGCAATGTGGACATCTACCCGTCCTATGATACCCATACCACCCCCATTAGTGACAATGCATGCGTCAATAGCCGGCTGGACTCGCGACGCAGGGATGGATAACAGGTGAAAAATTACATCCGAAATGATGGTTGCCGACGCACCAGTATCTACCAAAACACGCACGTCTACCCCTTGAATAGCGCCCGGCACCGTAGAAGACCCCGACGTGGCTGCAACCACCCTCCAAGCCAATTTCTTCCACTGAGTAATAGTGTGCGGTACCGAATCAGCATGCCGACAATTAACATTCGATAAGCCTACGGGGTGCAAGTGGATGCCTGAGATGTTGGGACCTGCCGGGTGCCCGATGCGTGTTGACTTGCCCGAGAAGGATGTCAATCCGCGTCCGCTGGAGAAGATAGAGGAAGGGCCGACGGAAGCTGCGGAGGTCGGAACCGGCGCCGACAATCACGGGCGAAGTGGCCCAGTCGGCCACACTTGAAGCATGTGGCGGCCGCCCGACGATCGGTCGCCTCGGCCCCCGCTCGCGACCTTCCGGCCCCGTTGCGCTGCATGTCCTGCCGGCGTTGCGGGGACCAGCGAGGAGCAGCAGCCACCAAGTCATCATCGCTGGACTCGTCCGGAATATGCACGATGCGACGCCCATCCCAGCGGTTCACCATCCTTTTTGGGGTCCCCCGTCCACGCCGCTATTTGGTCCCAATGTCGCAAATTGAATTTGGAGTCCAAACATCGCGCCGCCCAACGAGACTTTAACGGCTCATGGCCGCACACCGGCAGCGAGATGCCCAACTGTTGTGACAACTCGATCATTCTTGTAAGAATGGGAGGGTCCAGAAGGTCGGCGGAGGACTCGGGGTAGGCGGCCATAACAAGCGCTAATAGTGCACCACGGTATGCCAGAGACGTTTCTTCAGGCCCCCGTCGTCGCCGCATGAATTTTTGCTGTGGGCAGCCGATGGCGGCTCATAAAACTCCGCCATTTCAGCGAAGGCACCCTTCAGCGTCGTCTTTCTACTCGCCGGGATGGAGCGGAACACGGCCAGGGACACATCATCCAGCAGCGTAGGTAGAGCCTCCAGCGCCTCGGACTCCATCCACCGCACCGATCGAAAGGCGGATTCAAATCGCCACGTAAAAGCGTTCCAGTCGCCCCCAGCGACAAATTCTTTAATATTAGGGAGGCGATGACTGCGGCCGCCATCGTTGTCCTTGGCCGCAGGCAGCGTTGCAGCGACCGCGCCCAAAATGGCGGCCTCCTCCCCCGCAGCAGGTGTAATGGCGGCCGCCTTGGAGACCAAGGTCGTCCGCACTCAGACGCGTCTCACGAGGCTGACCCAGGGCGACAGACGACGCGACCACCGTGACGAGATTCAGCATCACGGCACGGAGAGACTCAATTTGTTCCGCCACTCGTCGCCACCCTTCGTCCGAAGCTGGAATCGCCTCTGCGCCGGCATGTCGTTTTGGCGCGGCCTCGGGGAGAGCAGCAGTCGGCGGCAGCGGTCCTGTCGCACCCAGAAGCTCGTCCTTGTCGGCATCGTCGTCGTCGTCCGACTGCGGGTCCAGTGGGTTCCTCTTTTTGAGGTGCTTAGACATCGTGGATGATGGTCCAAGTGGTCTCAAAATCTACTTCTGACTCCAATGTAATAAACCCCGTTCAGACGACGTCGTGACTTGATAATTCTTTATTCGGTTTCATTCACGGCTTCCACCACATTCGTTCCTTCAGTTCCCTTGCTCCCTCACGCTGTTGGCTAACAGCGTGAGAGAGAGACTGCCGCGGCCCGCCACGTGGCAAGCTCCGGACCACGGCACCAGCGTGGCTTCCCCCTACGTTCCTCCGCACACTGACCACGTGCTGTTTTTCTCCGCCCCTTTTAATCCCTGGCCCACGTGATGCCACGCAGCCAATCCTCAGCCACACCCCTGGAACTTTCCCGAAGATACTGTCCAGCTCCAGGGCCGCACCCCTGGCTCGACTCCCCATTGGTTGCGGGCTGAAGCCAGCAGAGCCCATCATTATCATCCAGGTGTAACCTCACATTACACTACCATATACTACTGTATTACTATACTCTCCATTATTACTATATACTACGTTATACTACTAAATCACTATATACCACTAAAGAAACATATACTACTATATTAATACTATATTACTATACACTATTAAATTACTGTGCACCACTATATTACTATACACTACTATATAGTACCATATTACTATATCCTACTATATTATTAGACTGCAGTATATATCTCAGTGTATATTTTTTTTTATATAAATGTACACGAATGGCTAATGAAGTACAGCACTATAGAGTAAATTATTTACTAATCATCGATAGCATCCGGGTCAGATAGAACACCCTAGATTATAACTTTCAATATATCAGAAAACTTTATATTATTATCACTATATTATAACGTATTATTTGGGTCTTTCGGTAAAGTCATGGAGCTAGGTTAAAATTAATTAAAATAAAATAAATAGACTGTCTTCTGAAGGCAGCATTCCTCCTCTTTTTTCCTCCTGATGACGATCGCTTGTGTTGAGATCAAAAGTCGTAGTTTTTTGTTTATTTTATTGTTTTTAATTTGAACCCTATCTACGTGACTTTACCGAAAGGGCCAAACAATACGAATTCCTGCGCATATAGTCATGAAAGCTTTAAGTCAAGGTATTAGAACGCTATAGATATTTTCTTTGGGACTCGTTTCTAGCGCTGGCGATAGAGTTACACCATCAAATCCACGTCGACGTGATGGCTGGGGTGGTGTGTTTAAACTCTCTGCACCTGCTTCCCCCGTAAGTGGAGTGAAAGTACGAGTCACAAGTTGCCAGCGTGAATCGGGGGCTGGCGGTTTGCGTACCCAGCGGGATCCGAGTACTCTGAGACCTTACTGCATCACAAGTAAATCATTGTGACCGGACCGACCACGCACACCCACCCACCCATCCACCCACATCCCGGCACGACGTTGTATGAGGGTTTTTAGTATGCTCACGAGTAGGCGTTGCCAGAGAAATTTGGCATGACTGTGGTGACGGCGCAGCCCGGCACCGCCGTGACGACGCTGTCATGTGCAGTCGCGCTCGGTTCTTCTCTTGGAGAGGTCTTCGGAAGGCGACGGTGAGGGGGCGGGGAGGGGGAGCACACGGTGACAGCAAGGGAATTCGTCCATTAGTTCGTGTCTCAATCCGCTAGTCCTGGTGAGGGTCGCAGCAGCAGCGTGTCGAGTAGGGCGGTCCAGACCTCCCTTACGCTGGAGACAGACTCTAGCACTACATTACGAGACACTACACTAGGATACACTATACACTACTATACACTACACTACTCTACACTACTACACACTACTATACACTACACTAATATACACTACAATACTATACACTACACTACTATACACTATACACTACAATACTATGCACTACACTACTATACACTACACTACTACACACTACACTACTACACACTACACTACTACACACTACACTACTATAAACTACACTACACTACTACACACTACACCACTATACACTACACTACTATACACTACTGTACACTACACTACTATAAACTATCTTTGATCACTTTATCTCTCATCACTTTATCTCTGATCACTTTATCTCTCATCACTTTATCTCTCATCAATTTATCTCTCATCAATTTATCTCCCGTCACTTTATCTCTCAGTTTAACATACACGTGACAGACACGTGCAACGTACACACGCAACGTCCAGCAAGGACTTCACGTTCTCCCGTTAGAATATGGATGGGTCCACATTGCTACGAGTTCTTTGAGCAGGGCGATTGTCCGTGTGTCCAGGGGGTCCGTGTGGAACAGCCCTGGGTATGAGAGGCTCACCAGCATCTCCGGTGGCATCTGCTTCTCATCAGAGTTGAGTTGAACCCTTCAAACAAGGACAAAGATCAACACAGTGAGGCCCTAATAGACTGGTGGGTGGCCGATGCCACGACCTTTGCCTCCCCAGTGGCGATGTTTATGACACCTCCACCACTACACCAGGTACTCCATTTGAGGCCGAGTCGACCTAGAAGAGGACCAGGACTGTGGGCCGGAATCGGCCGGAGTTTGTAGCGCTAACCGCCACTACACCACCGCTCCTCATTCGGCTGCAATCAGGTCACCAATTTCTCCACTGGGTACGTAGCTCAGAGCAGAGCAGAGTTGAACCCTGCTCACGCGCCTGCACGCACCAATACTAACACCCGCGCCATTCGCCGCTACGTGATGGTGACGTCATCACGGGGCCTGTGCCAGTCCAGGTGCACTTTGAGGCCACATGAAAGTACATACACACAACAACACGTGCCATTCGCCACTAAGTGGCGGTGACGTAACCACGATGCTTGTGCCAGGCCATGTGCACGTTGAGGCCACGTGAAGTGTCTCACGCCCGCTGCAGGAGGTCAGGGGGAGACCCAGGTGCCACTGGTCGACTGACTCAGATGACTGGCTGATGCACCACCTGTGCCACCTGCTGTGCCAAGTTGCTGTGCTTTAGCCACCCGGTGCTCCACTCGTTGTTGTGAGCGTCACTCCTTCGCTCTCCGTTATTGTTGGAGAGCGACTGCCTCCAACTGCCCAGTAGCGTCCTTCACGAGCCTCCTCCACAGAGGCCGATCTTGACACCGCTGGTACCAGTAATAGGCAAGTCCACTCAGCTCCAGATCCTCCTATACCACATCACTCCATTTCTTCTATAGCCCGTGCCGCGCCCGTTTAGCCCCCTCAATCCGGCCAAACAAAAGTTGTTTAGGAATGCGGAACCTGGGCATGCGGGCAACATGATCCATCCAACGCAGCCTTGCCTGCCGGAGAAGCTCACCGATGGGACTTTGTCCAGATCTTTCAAGGATTTGTGAGACTCTCACAAAATTCAGCTTGGTTAAACCCAGGATGGATCATAGGCAGGCCAGACAAAATGTTTCTAACTGGAAAAGATGTTTCAATTGGGGGGTCCACGTTTCGCAAGCATTGAGAAGGAAGGGAATGACTATGGCCAAGAAGACCTGAAGCTTCGTGAGGAGCGACAGACCAGGTAGCTTCCACACAGCTTTACGCAACCAATGAAAAGATAATGCCGCTCGACTGATTTAGAGCGAGACCTCTGCTGCTAAACTGGAGCTGGTCATGAGCACACTGCCCAGGTATGGGAAACTCTCCACTCTCTCCACAACTGACTAGCACCAATTGGGAGTTGTGGGGGTGGAGTATCCGATGGTACAAAATACCCAAGCAGGTGCTGAGTTTTCGTGGGGCTAATGGTAAGGCCCCATCTCTTAGTGGCAAATCTCAAGGTTCATCAGCAGCCCCTCCAACTCCTCCTCTGAGTGAGCAGCAATTACCAGATCATCGGCATACATAACATGGTTGAGCAATAGAGAGTCATCCCTTAACCGCATCCAGGCATCTAACAGCCTCCCATTGTATCTGTACTACCTGGACATTTCTCCGGTACACCTATTGAAGGCTTCACGAACTATGTGGACGAAATAGATATTAAATGATGTGGGAGCCAGAGGACATCCCTGTCGCACCCCAAGGTGTACAGGGAATGGCTCCGACTTAGCAGAGGGTCAGGGACTCCGAAAGCACAATTAACTACCCAGAGCCCAGGCCTACTGATGGTATCACAGGCCTTGACCAGGTCCACCACCACCACAACCACCCAGGCATAACCAAAACAACCATCATCACCACCACCACCACAACCGACCACAACCACCCACCCAACGACCACCAAACACCCAACCACCACCACAACTAGCCAAGAACAACCACCACAACCATCACAACTACCACAACCACCAAGCCACTATTACCACGACCACCACCCAACTAAAAGGGGAGCCTCGCTGTACCAACGACGTTTCTTCAGCTTTTGTCTTCCTCTCCCATTCACCCCCAGCCCCTCAGCACCCCCAGCCGCATTCATCCAACTGGCACCGACGACTCTCACCTGAGCCGCGTCACTTCACGCGTTTGGCTCTGCAGGCTGGGCAGTTGCATCGGCGGCGGCGGGGGGTGCCGCTGACCCAGAAACGAGCTCCAATCTCTGCTATCCTCAGCCCTGAACCGGCTGCCCGTCCCCCCCGCCACCACCGCCTCGACGTCGTCGTTGTCGACGACATCACCGCCATCACCACCATCATCACAATCGTCGTCGGGTGGCTGCCTCCGACTTCTCGCGATAGGTGGTGGAACGGGATACGGCGGTGGGCGCTGCGAAGAGGACCACACTCCTGTCTGGCACTGTGCCTCCGCCCTCCTGTATTCCACACAGATTCAGGCGGTACTGGTCCACCTCCCGACATAGCAGCGCCAGCATCTCCTCTGCGGCGAGTGTCCGAATATTCCA